AAAAAAAACCAAAGATGATGCGTATGAATCATAAAAAAAAGGCAAAGATGGTGGAACAAGGAAAAAACCTTAATTCGATCTACATAGTTCCCGAACTACTGGAAGAAATCTTCCTCCGATTGCCCTTGAAACCAATCCTCAAATTCAAAACCGTCTCAAAACAATGGAAATCAATTCTGGAATCGAGGAGTTTCATAGATATGCGTATGAGTCTTCAAAAGAACCACTAGAAAATCCTGGCTGCTTACAACTGCAACTGTGACGGCCGACCGACACTCCTCCCCGAGTCGTTCGGGGAAGCAGACCAAACCGTCGCAAGTCATCATCGAGGCCCGTTGCGCGTCGTTGCAGTGAAGAAAAACAATCTCTTCGTCTCCTTTGAACCGCGACTTGGGGAGGAGTCTCGGTCGGTTCCCACAGTCGCAGTAGTAAGCAGCCAGGATTTTCCGATGGCTCTTTTGAAGACTCATACGCCTCTCCACGAACATGTTCGATTCCAGAATTGATCTCTATTGTGTCGAGAGGGTTTTGAATTTGAGGATTGGTTTCAAGGGAAGTCGTAGGAAGATCTCTTCCAGTAGATCGGGAACTAGGTGGATCGGATTAGGGTTTCTTCCTTGTTCCACAATCTTTGCCTTTTTTTTATGACTCATACGCATCATCTTTCTTTTTTTTTTGTCCAGAGAAACTCTCGACTCGCCCTTTATATTCGTAAATCGTAATCATCAAAATCAAATCAAATAAAAAGGAAATGTAAATAAACAAATATTTATCATTATCTCTTGTCTGCGACCCAAAAAAAAAATTATCTGTTGTCTTAGATAAGTTTGACACTAATAGGCACCTAACGAGCTAACCATATGTAACCAGCTACTACTACTGTAGAGGTAAACGAAATTATCTGATCCCAAATTCATTTCGTCCAGAACTTTGGATATCCAAGAACCCGACTTTTGATAGGTTGAAAACGAGTGGCATTTGGATATATGTCCTCGTTTCGATATCTGAATTTATTGAATCATGATGCCGATGGTTTGACTTCAAGGGAAGTGTGACCAAATTTTCCAAGAAAGGAGATATAACACTAGTGTTCGAGGAGAGACAACGAATCTCATCCCTCATTGTCATGGAAGACAAGATTCCCTTGCTTAGAAACTGCAATGGGCTTGAACCACCTTTTTCTCCATCCCCAAGAAACAACTCTATCGGCTAAACTTATCGAGTACGAATTGCTCCATGTTTTTACTTTTGTATCCAAGATCCATATCTCTAGTATCCGTTCATGCGCAACATTGATCGTCATGGCTATGGCTAGGCCTAAAAATAATTAAA